TCTGAAATCACACCACCCTCCAAGATATAGGACAGATGGACTCCCATTCTAGCTGTATCTGAAGAAGTGAGCAGTGTCTCACAAAAGCTCATACCCTGTCACAGATTTTATTAGTCCTTAAGGTGCTAGTGGACTCTTGCTCTTTTTACTGCTACAGATAGATCAAGATGGGTAGCTGTGTTATCTCCTTCAGAATCATGCTCATTGCAGCTCATCACCCTTGAGAGGCTGTATAAGAACAGACTGTGCATGCTGATCCATCAGATTTCATTCTGCTCTTGAGATTTATGCAATAGTTATGGAAATTCTATCAACATGCAGATATTTGTCAAGATATTTACTGATGCCTAACGATGGTTTCTTCCCCTTCTGCTTACAAGCAGCAGGATGCTAGGAGTAGTACAGACTGTACCAATAACTATACCTAATGTATACAGCCCACAAACTATGCTAGCTTCTGGCTAAAATAGGGAGAAAGAGTCAAGGAGATTAACTCCAATCTTTTGTTTACTGCATTAGAATCTCTAATCCTCATCACATGAGACAGCAATCCTGCCTTCCTTTTCAGAGTGAAATTCACGACTTACAGTCAAAAGCAGCAGCAGCTGTTTCAAATGGGCCTGAGCCAACCCAAGGCATAATGAGATGCACTCCTTATTTAGGTTTTGACACACCACATCCTATGGGATACTACATTTCTTAGCAGCCATCACGCTCCAGTATGTGGCTGCGGCTCTGCAAACAGATGTAATGATGCAGCAACAGGTAAAGCAGTACATCATGAAAGGTAAAGCAACACAGCCTGCTTCCTTTTAATAAGCTCAAGACAACAACTTGCTACAGTTAGTGGAGCAGCCTTCAGCTTGTGGGCGGTACAAGGACACCATTGGCAGGGCCAGCACCTCCCAAAATCAGGGGGAGGGGGTGGAAATAGGATGGAGAGACCAAGACAAGGACTGGGCAAAGGCAGCAGACCAAGCCTAAGATCTGAGAGTGAGGCCAACCTGGAACATTTTATATTCTATGAACTTCTCCAGCGTCTTTTTAGGCAAAACTATTTTTTGGTGGTCAAGCTAATTGTTTTCCAAGTGCCACCTTTTGCCAGAGTTTGGTAGAAGCACAAAGGCTGAATTCCCCAACTGATCTGCCTCCAGCTCAGGAGGCACCATTCTCCTCCCCTATCCAACCACACACATGGTTTTTTGTATCACGTTTCTGCCTGATTTATTAGCATAACAGCCAACTGTTTCTGAGAAACAGAGGTCATGACACACCTGGAGGATCAAGAGATCCTGTGCATCTTTACTGGGACACTTGTAAAAAGAAAAGTCTATAAAAGTATTTCTTCTGCTAAAGAGTGGAGACAGAGAAAATATCTATCTTTAGACAGCCTACAGGAAGTAGTTACAAGAGACACAGGCTTACACAAAGTAGAAGGGGGAAGAGAACAAGGAGAAAGATTAGATTGAGATGGTGAGTCAGAAAGAGCTTTCCTTCTCTAGGAGAAAGCAGGTACAGACCCTCCCTAGCTCTTAGCCCTCTAGCTGGTGATTTGGGCTAGAAGAAGAGATTGGATTTATATCCCGCCCTTCGCTTGGAGTCTCAGAGCGGCTTACAAACTCCTTTCCCTTCCCCTCCCCACAACAGACACCCTGTGAGGTGGGTGGGGCTGAGAGAACTCTGACACAAACTGCTCTTTTTCAAGGACAGCTGTGCCAGAGCTTGTGACTGACCCAAGGTCACATCAGCAGGTGCAAGTGGAGGAGTGGGGAATCAAACCAGGTTCTCCCAGATTAGAGTCCGCACACTTAACCACTACACCAAACTGGGCTAGGGTGTCCTTCCCTTGGTTCAACAGGCACAAGGTTGCTGTACAAACATAAGGATTGGCCTTTCACTTCCTCATAAGCATGCATTATTCTAACTTAAGCCCCACTGAGTTCTGTCAGACCCCTTCCTGAGTTTGGTTAGGCCTGCAGTCAGTATGTACAAATCCAGCAGCCCTGCCATTTACTGGAACCAACCGAAGTGTAAAAATGACAAGCAAGCCTTCAGGACCCCCAGAATTCTTCCATGAGGCTAGGTGTTCAGTGCCAAGACAACGAAAAGGAGAGGTGGCAGGGAGAAGATATTTCCAGGCACAACAGAGGAACCCAAGACTACACTTTGTGTCAGTGTTAACAGAAAGTCCTGAGGAGTGCTGGATGCAGAACAGACTCCAAACTGTAGTGCTGGAACACTGAAGCAAAAAGGTATCTCCTCTGCCTTTGAGAATAAAAGCCCATAGGTCAGACCTCTTGAGAGCTACTTGGAGCATGCAGCTCCATTGGCAAGGCAGACTGCCACAAAGTGCCCTCGACCGCTTCTCGCTGTTTTCCCCTTTTTCCTTTGTACTGAAGATCCAAGCCTGATAAAGAGTACTACAGAACTCAAAATCTCACTCACTATAGTTAAGTTTTAGCCAAGCCTAAAAGACTCACCACATTGTTCTTTTCCCTATGAATCAACATTGCTACCTGCCGTGTTTCATGTGCCCCAGTCTCTGCATTAAACCATGATCACAGAAGGGTGGCCTCTTATCCCATTCTTGTCTGCTCTCGCCTTCCTTCTCCCATTCACCTTCCCCCAGGCATTCTTGCGCAACTGGGACTATCAAAAAAACCCAACGTTAATCCAGGAAGCATGTCATTTAACAAGGCTTCTACCAGGCGATAAACATTGTAAACCATTATTCTTCTCCCAAGAATGCCACTGATATTTACAAAGCGATTGAGAACATTTTGTTCTGTAGAGCACTGCTATTCATGTGGCAACTGCCCACTCAGGGCTGCAGATTACAGCAGCCTCTTATTTGAAACAAATGACTTAATTCTATGAAATACTTGGTCTCTTAGTATAGTGTTACATTACTGATAACTATCGGGCCAGCCACGTCAAAAGATTCCCATGCAGGCAGCACCACCACCTAGTGTCCAGTGAGGATTTTAAAGATCGCCGCAGAGGCTCCTGTGAAAGGATTATACTAGGCCACGTTTACAGCAAAGGTAAAAATTTGGAGTGCTAGATTTCTGTAGAAAATGAATCAGGGAATGCTAAGCACCCTAAAAGCACCACAAAACAGAGGAAGAAAGAGATCCTTATGTCTTGAGCAGGGTTTCCTCGTACCTGCCAAGCTTTTCAGAAAATGGGCAGGAACATCATAAGGCAGGCCTTGAAACTGGCTGCCCTCATACAAATGAAAGGGTTTTCCTATGGCTGCCATAGAGGATCAGGACTGGTAAGCACCTGAGCTTTTGGCAGTGTGTAGTTCCATTAGTGTGTTACGGGGAGTGGGTTTCTCTTTCTGACATTTATTTTATTTAAAGATACAGCATTGAGTTCTCTTCGTATTTTATTTTTAAATTTTTGGTATTTTGTGTGTGCGCGCATCTGGAAGTTATGGTTGACTGTTGCCATGAGCTTCTTACACAAAGCCGACAGGACACTTTGTTCTAGTCTTAAAAGAGTCCAGGGAGAGGGCCTGCTCCATGAAGGGAAATAAGTGTTCAAGAACAGAAGTCCACCCACTCCCTTCTAGAGGCTTGCTGTCCTCCCAGTGGCTGGACCATGCTCCCAAAGCACAAATAATACTGATCTCGACACAAATGGCTGGACTCTGACTAAGGCAGCTTCATGTGTTCAGCATGGTTACCCTGCAGCTCCTCAGCAATGTGAGGAGGGAGGTATTATGTTCACCTCTGCCTCCCGTAGCAACCAGTGCTCAGTTTAAATGGCTTGGAGCTGAACCCAAGAGAGCTCCTTTAAACAGCTGAACTGATCTGTGTGGTTCATGCCCATCCCTGTGGTAGAACCAGACAAGCTGCAGCTTCCTTCGCCCTTTGTGGTCACTAGTACATGCTCCAAATAGTCCCACTACTGAAACATACAGACTACAAGCATGTAAACTACCCAAACTGACAGGAGTACTCACAGTCAAACTGGTGTCTGTTGAAACATTGGCTGATTAGGAACTCAGCTGCTTCTTCAGTGGGTGCCCCTCTCCTGTGGAAGGCTCTACTCTTTGAGGGTGACCTGGCATCTGCTTTGCTCTCAAGCACTGCACAAGAACACTTCTCTTTTTACAGAGACTTTTAACTATAGGGATTTGATGTTTTAAAATTTTTAGTCATGTGCTTCTGGCCCAAGGACTGTTTTTATGAGGATCCTTTTAGGCTGATGAACATTGGCTGCGGTCACACGGAACATTAGCCACGCAAGAGAGACGGAAGACAGGCGGATTTTCCGGGCACGATCTCACCGGCACATCTGGGAAGTGTAGCGCTTCCGTGGCACAACCGAGGCTTCCCAGCGAAAACGCGCTGCAAAAAACTAGTACCTCGGAGGTACTAGTTTCCGGAAACTGCGGGGCAAGGGTGGGCGTCTGATCGCGTTTCCAGTGGCATCCGGCGCCCGCCTATGTCCCCTTGAGAAAAAGGTTTTTTCCCCCCAAGTCTCCGTGGATGCGCACATGCACCCAACGGAGCATGCGCATTCGTCATGTACACAAAATAAGAAAACCAGTTTGCCGCACCGCGCGCTTCTTCGTTGCGCGCAGGCTAGTCCTGTGATCGGCACCTCTCCCTACCCACGGAACCTCCACGGTACCTCCACAGGACCTCCACGGGAGGTCTGATCGCTTAACCGTGCGTTCGTTTGCCCCAGGGCAAACAGCCACGCTCCCCCCCCCCCCCCCTTTTCCTGCCCGTGTGACCAAAGCCATTGTGTTTTTATACTCAGGCTGGTTTTCTATGGTTTGTTAATGATCTTCATGCTCTTTAATGAACTGATCATGTTTTACATTCTGAGCCACCTTGAGCAGCTCTGTGAAAAGGTGGTATATAAATGGCCTAAATAAATGCAGCACACATTGAACCGAGACTGCAATCATTTCTCACACTAAATACACATTAAATAAGCAAACTAGAGATTTTATTTAAACAAAACATAACTGCCACAAGGGGTTACAGGTTAAATCCACTGATTTGACTCAAGAGACTGTTAAGGGTTTAAATTAATCTGGTAAATACTCAAGTCTTTTTTTTTTTTTTTTTTGCAAAATGAAATGGTGTCTTGACAACGTAACGTTGAACCCTGGTAGTCTTCTGTAAAAGAAGTGCAGAATCTTCACGTCTGAACAGCAGAAGCCAGTGTCCAGTGGTCTGCCACTTTGCAAAGGATAGGTTTTCATTGTTTCAGCCAACCCTCAGGGGAGGAGCCACGAGTACAACTCCATCTCCTCTGACAAACAGCATTGGAATATTCCGCTTGGTAGACTGTGGAAGAAAAACAACGTACAGACTGTATCAAAGGTGGGAAGCAAGTGTTAAAGATAAACACTGTTGCAATCCAGCAGTGCAATTCTGAATGTACAAGATTGTGTGGAAATAAATCCAAACTGCAAAATCTTAAATATAGCAACCGTTTTCACTGTACAGTGACACATTGTACCTCTCACTGATTATAATTTGCTTGCTATTACCCGATATCAAGCCACTACAACGTTCTCTAATGAGAAGGACAAGGCTAGAATTTAAATTCTAACAACACTGTGATTCCGAAACAGCATTTGCGCTTTTAAAAAGCCATGATTCTTTTTTAATGGAAAGCTCTTACTTTATAAATCTCTTCATAGGTCTCTTCATCAATCTCTATTGTTGTCACAGTCTCTTCGACATCACCCAGAATCATGTTTAAGTGCTGGTCATAAGCCTGTAGGAGTGAAAGTATTTTAAAATTATGATGATTGCTATTGATAGGGCCAACAGCAAGTTTTAACTCTTAGATACTTAACCCCAAAAGCTATAGATCAGTGGTGGTGAACCTATGGCACGGGTGCCAGAGGTGGCACTCAGAGCCCTCTCTGTGGGCACGCGTGCCATCGCCCCAGCCAAGCCCAGACCATCATTAAAGTGTTGAATTCTCTGCCAAATAATTTTAAGTAAATGAAAGCATTTGGGATTGCTTTCCTTACTTTGTTTGGAATATCTTAAGTTAATGTATGAGTTGTTTTTTCTAAAGTAAAACCTCAGTATTCAGGTTAAATTGCCGTGTTGGCACTTTGCGATAAATAAGTGGGTTCTGCGTTGCAGTTTGGGCACTCGGTCTCTTAAAGGTTCGCCATCACTGCTATAGTTTCGTTTCTTCTTCCCCTGTTATTGGTCTTGAACAATAAAGCTGAAAGGAAAACTGAAAGGAAAACTTAAATAGGACCCATGTCTAAAAACATCTCCCTTTAACACTTCTCTGTAACCTCTAGAAATCGAGCAACAAAGTAAGTATATTTGGAGTCAGAATCCTCACGGAGAAATTGAACCTTTGCTCAAATGTCACTAGAGGAAGCACAGTCCATTACTCAAGACACGGCATAATCCATTTTAGCCTAAACTAAAGCACATAAGGGCATTGCAGGAGAATATCTGCAAGTGAGTCCACCGACTGAAGGGGACAGGGACATAATAACTGATCCAAAAAGGGGATCCTTAGCAGATGACCCAACAATATCATAGAAAAGGGGCAGTTAAATTGTGCATGCATAAAGGTCCTACATAACTCTGGGCTAACCAAGAATTCTAAGTAGGGAGTTTACCCTTAGACAGAAGGCCCAAGGCAAGTGGACAGCACGTCCTCCTAGCATCAAAATGGGTACAGCTCTTATCTCTTGCATAAATCAGTTTGGTCACATGTTTTTCACACTGATTTACCGAGGAAGGAAAAAAGGTCCGACACTTTAAGATTTATAAGAGATAACTTCTGTTCAAAAAGCAGGAACTAGGAAACCTTATGAGAGTCCCTGAGGGTGAAAGCCATTGATCCAGAATTTCCACTTGCACTGTGATATACTTTCCCAGCATATTTCCCCCCACTCTTGGAAAATATGGGATTGCTTAACACAGTTGTGGAATGGTCTTGTGCTTGAAGAAGAGTTGGTTTTTATACCCTGCTTTTCTCTACCTTAAGAAGTCTCAATGTGGCATACAATCTCCTTCCCTTCCTCTCCTCACAAGAGTCACTTTGGGAGCAGTGTTCTCTCCAAGCTGAGTTAGAGTGAGCTAGCTCACAGTTTTTTAGCCTCTGGCTCACACATTTTTTGTCTTAGCTCAGGAAGGATGCCTCCAGAGCAAACTAATTTATGCAGGAGGCAAATCGCTCACTCACAACTTTAATGCCAGTAGCTCACAAAGTAGAATTTTTGCTTACAAGACTCCACAGCTTAGAGGGAGCATTGCTTGGGAGGAAAGTGGGCTGAGAGAGTTCTGAGAGAACTGTGACTAGCCCAAGGCCACCCAGCAGGCTTCACATGGAGAAGTGGGGAATCAAACCCAGTCTACCGCTCTTAACCACTATACGAGCTAGTTCTTGAAGACCAATTTATATGTTTTATTAGCCTACAGTTGAAAGTCAGTTACATCATTTATATGTCACACATTCTTTATCAAATCTAATCACTCAAGAAATAGCTCCTCCAAATGAATACCAATTGATTTGCATTTACTAGGGCAAGAAGGAGGATGTAAACTGCAAAAGTAAATGAAAACTATCCCTCAGGTTTTCAAAAATTGTGACAAAACTGAAAGAGCTGGGAAACAGAAAGTACATCTTAAAAAGCGGTTTACTCTTTCTGGAACAGCAGTCTAGCTGCAGTCCTGACCCGGATAGCCCAGGCTAGCCTGATCTCGTCCGCTCTCAGAAGCTAAGCAGGGTCAGTCCTGGCCATTGTTTGGATGGGAGACCACCAAGGAATACCAGGGTCATGACATGGAAGCAGACAATGGGAAACCACCCCTGAATGTCCCTCGCCTTGAAAACCCTACGGGATCGCCATACGTCAGCTGTGACTTGACAGCACTTTCCACAGCCACCACAGCTGCAAATAGTTTGTGTACATTTTCTCACACACTCAAAATACATACACTTTGGAGATATAGGAGTTATTTGAGAACTGCACTATAAATGCCTGCTGTATGGATGACATCAAGTTTGTAGGATTTGTCTTTCCTGCCCATTCCTGAAAAGTGCCCTCTTACAACTGAATCCATCTTAAGGAGACCCATTGCTAGCTTGAAACACAGCAGTTACATGTATAATCCCATATAATGAGGAGACACCTCCAAAGAGGGTATTACACTTCTGCATTAACTAGCAATATAGCGACAAAGGCAGCAAATTAAAACAAAGTAGATACTATGCTAAGTGCACTGCTGAAAACATGCATGGATATTTGGACAGGAATACTCTGTTTAGACAGAAGAAATACCCTCTTTTGATAGACATTTTCCGTGTTCATGAAGCATCTATTTCACATCTTCAAATCTTTGGTGACAGCCCTTCTCAAAACACACTACTATTTCTAGATTTACCACTTCTAAGAAAGTCTCTACTCATACCCTCCAAACCTTTTGTTCCACAGCAGTTCTGTTGGCCTTCAATAACTTTGTAGTGCTTTTTAAAAGGCCAAATGAAGTGGCATATTTGAGGTCCTTGATTGGATCCCAAACAGTTTCCCTTAAGAGTGGCAGGACCCAATGTGAATCAAGGCTTGTTTCTCTGGCTCAGGTGTTTCCACTACAAAGATCACACCCATCCCTTAAGCTGGTAAGAAAATATTCCTTTAATGAATTAGTAATTCCCCACCACCACTACATCTAAAAGCAGCTTTGGAAGGCATGATTTCTGGCCATCTTGGATTCACACCACAGTAACATTGAGACTAGACTACTGTAAGGCAATGGACATTGCATCTTTTTCAGGCAAACAAAGGCCACAATGAATCTCCCAAGAGGACTTCAACAGCTAAGACAACTGGACTGTTAACTTCACTGTATTTTAGAAACTGTAGCCTTTGTTCTAGAAACACCTGCATGAATTCTGTTACCGAAGTCACCTTTTTATAACAGCAGAGCAGAATAATCTTATATTGATCCATCACATTTTCCAGCATCCCTATAGGGTTTTACTTACATGTAACCTGCCTCGAAGTTCTCTGTCATTCCTCATTTTCACATATATTCGCTCATCAAGACTGAGCCTGATGAGATCCAAAGGCTCTTCTACAGTATTGGTAGTTTGTTGCTATAAGAGAAGAGGAGTCATGTAGTACAAGGCAAGAGATGCTCTTT